AAAACAAACAAGGCCCTGAAGTTCAGTTAAATGAGGGACGCCATTTAGTGTGTATCCTTTTTTCCACACGGACCCCGTGATGCCATGGACAGGGTCCCCGCATTGGCCTGTGGCTCGCCGAAGAAAGGGAACCCTTGGGCCTGGGTTCCCGAGCCCTCTCGGTTCCGGGTTGGCCCGATAGGGCTGCCATGGGAACCCGGGCTGAACCTACGAGTCCACTTCCCAAACCGAGCGAGCACCGTTCCCACTAGTCATGGGTATGTGGCCTTAGAGCCTGTATAGGGTCACCACTGCTTTACCAACTTTAATGACACAAGTGCATCCGATGTGTTTTCCCACAGAGCCCTCGGAAGTTGATGTTCTACTTCACAACGTCACCGACCAGTGATCAGGGGGTGTTTGCAGTCCGACACAACTATTACAAAGCCCACTATTTCACACAAGGTAGGATCCACCACCATCGCCACTTTAATTTTACCGATGGAGGACTCACGTTTCTTCCATCCACCCTATTTGATCAAATAGTCATAATTTATACTCGTACCCTCCCCACCCCTTTCCCCTGCTTTTTACAGGAGCGGGTGCCAGTGCTCTTACCCCGGATCACGACTGCGGGATTGCCGCTGAGTGCAAGAAACACAGTCCGCCGCTTCTCTTTCACCTGGGCTGGGACGTGTCTGAACGCGTCGAGCTGAACTCCAGCCTCCCCGACCTGAAGCCTGTGGCGGAGGACATAGACCGCCTGCGCAATGAGTTCCAGCTCGACATGACGTGGGGTCCGAGCCAGATGGATCGCGGAATAGACCCTAAGCTAGAGCCCTGCTGCAACCCACAGTGCAGCCCCAAGCCCACGTGCTGCCGGTGCGTGTGACGGGAGAGATGAGCCCCTCTTGTAAGAGGGTTGGCACGCTGATTGTAGTCGATGGGCTCTTGCGTGCAATGTGGCGGACATTGACGGCGTCGTGGAGTTGGTACGTTCCGTCTGTTCGTCTTTCCCGTCCGTCCGTCCGTCCTGCGTTGTTACTGAGCCACTTTGCCAAATTGAGCTTCATCGACACTCGGCAATAGTCGCGCGTTGCGTCACAACACAAATAACACCCCAATAGGGGGTGGATACAAATGTAGCTTTTGATTAATTTTTCTATTTTTCATTTATATTATTTGCTTTACAGCCCTTTGTGAATCTACTGTTGGATGAAAGCACCTCCTGTCGTGTTAAGCATTGCGCTTGTTTGACTATACGTCACTCACACCAGTCAGTGTGGGTTTGGTGAAGGGGGGCTCAGGAATGGTATATCACGCCGCACTGGGAATCGAACTGCGTCAAATTTGCTCGGGGCACAGTTCGCTAACCGCTGACGCAATTCCCTCCACACCCCCCCCCCCCGTCATTTTATACATTACATAAAATTCGTTGACCACCAAATGTGAAAGTGGTGGTGGTGAGTCTTCTGGTTGAAAGCTCAAGAACGAGTCTTAATGGAAGAGGTTTCGTATTACTGCTGGTGATTCTATTAAGAAGATTTTACCTTGCTGTTTAGGACTATTGGAATGATTCAGCTTTTTTTTCACTATATAATGAGCGTGGTATTTTAAATCTAAGCCAAGTGATACTGTGAAACAATAACATTTCGATTTTCAATAATGTTTTTCGTTTAATATTGCTTGGCAATAAAACAAAATATGCTGGGATTGTTTTGTTAAACATTGGTTCATTTCATCAATAAACATCTATGGGATGATGTGTTTTGTAATGCTTCCGTCTTAACTTCCATGGGAACGTGTAGCTGACCGAATTCGATGGGAAACGCATTCACTGGTACAGATGTAGAGGGTTACCGTTGACTTTGTTAGGCGTCGGAACGCTTTCACGAGTGTCAAACAACACTCAATGAAACGTCCAAAATGGCAGATTAGAATGCATGAAACATTTTGCACCTTTATACACCGTGGCGACCTCCCAACACTGAGTGGCAGGGTACAAATTGTACCGCAATGGTTTAGAAGCAAAATGTTCAATTAGGTTACACTCTGAATCCTGGAAGTGGCCTCGGTGGCTAGGGGCAACAGAGCACTGAGCCAGTGCTGCCGAGATCTTGGCCTCCGAGCGGACGCATGAGCATGGACTTGGACACCCGTGGTGAGTTCATGGTGTCAATCTGTCCCCAGTGTTGTGACATTTAAAAAAAAAGCATCACAATACGTCTTGATCGTCGCATATTTTAGTTAATTCCACATCCGAATGAAAGTTTTGATTTTATTGACGTGATTATCCTATTCTATTTAGGATTCATATCGCGCCCTTTCCAGGGCATCAACGGGCATTCCGAGAGAGGCCTGCTCCTGTAGTGATGGCACAAGTTCCACGACATCTAGGACTATTTGACAAGGGACGATGCTCAGCTGCGGAGTTCCAAATTGAAGTTTATTATGATGTGACACTGGAATCACACTGTTTACAAATGATAACATACAAAGTCATGTCGAAGTAATGATTTGAAGGAACTTATCCATGAGTGGGGAGGTCAGCTTTTAGTCTTATTTTCCCATTCCAGTCCTTCACCCGCAACCTCTGGAGTGGCCTTTCCTTATGGCAATGAGCTGATAAATACGGTTCCAATTGATTTATTGATGGAGACAGGTCCGTGCTTGTAATTAGCCGTGGACCGTACCATGTTTATGGGGACTTTTTTGTGACATACAATTTCTCAGAATTCATCACTGGGAGTGCACTATGGGGCCGTCCATAAATTACGTCACGCGCTTTTTGACGCTTTTCACACCCCCCCCCCCCTTCGTCACACGGCGTCACAAAAAGTCAAATCCCTCCTCAAATATGACGTCACAAAGCTCTGCCCCCCCCCAAAAAAAATATATATAAAACATGCTTCAAATCGCTTTAAACTATTGTCATTGTAGTGCGTATTTAATGTGGCGCTGCACTCTTATATTGTAGGAGAAAACATTAATTAAAAAGTCTATTTAATTAAGTAGAACGTGTTGTCTATATTTAAAGTTGCGCATTTTCATGTGACGTCACATTTCTCAACCCCCCCCCCCCCTTGTCACACATCGTCACAAATGTCTGACCCGCCCCCTAGGTGCGTGACGCCATTTATGGACTGCCCCTACGCAGCTTGGACGTCATTTGAAATAAAACTCCATCTGACAAGCCGTAGGGTAGACAATAACCTCTTGGCCCCTTGTTATCTCCTCTCTGCCCAGAGCACACCAATGCATCTCCTATGACCTTGCAATCCGCAGTTGCTGAGCCAAGGACAATAACAAAAGACGCAGGCAGCCAGATGGCTCAAGAGTCGAAGCACTCAACCAGAGCTGGGTTTGAATCCAGGTTTCAGCCACCCGTGATTAAAGTGGGGTTCCGAAGTTATAATACTAACAACAACACATCCCTCCAATTTGTTTTGTTTTGCAATTCGGCAACGCATCCACCTTTGAGAACACAACAAAAATGTTTACTTCCATGCGGCATAGCTGAGCACGTGCAAAACGCAGCGCCCCCTAGAGTCGATAAGAGATCAATGGAAGAGACCGCAGATCAAGTCACCCGAGGTCTCCTTCCATGGGCTATTCTCCAACATGAGGCGAAGGTCCTTGGTGACTGAGACAGTCACATGCAATGAGACCAACCGCACAATTGGACGAGAAAATACACTTGTAATATTCCTTAGAATATGTATTCCTGCAGTCACGAAAGCTTTAAGTCAAGATTTACACTTGTAATGTTATTGACTATTATATTTCTGTGTGCGGATTTTTGCTGGCATTGGTTCATTTTGTTTTGGGTTTCTATTAAAAACTATTTTCTTATTTTACCAAGTAATGCCCACTGAGCTATGTAGCTATTTTTTCAGAAGCGACCTGGCCACAAATGATAGCTCAACGAAGTGGTTTATCACGTGGACATTTCTCACAGCCAAATACACCAAAGGAACGTTTATAAATGTGGAGGGAAAAACCGGAGGACCTGGAGAAAAATCCACGCGACCACGGGGAAAGAGACGTGCAAACTACAATAAAAAATATATACAGCAGGCGTCAGGGTTGGGATCGAATTCACGACCTCCTGTATACCAGACGAGGCAGTTAACATCTCGCCACCGTGGATGTTGGGATGTTGGGAGTAACTCTTGGCAGTGAATTATGCCGCACGTTACACAATATCAGTTTGCTCCTGTAAACGGCAGAGGTACACGCGCCGTTCTCATGTAACCTTCACTGTAGAGGCTGACCTTTACATCCGAGTGCATTGCTCACGTGAGCTGCTTATTAAGTGGCTGCGATAAAGTTGTAGTGCGCATGTTATTTCCAGAGCGTGAGGTTGGACGCGTTTCACATTAGCCAAATTATATTCGCTAATTGGACCTCGTGATAACGTGCCTGTGTGACGTCAAGGATTGAACGTTAATTTATTTGATGATGAAATTAATATATGTGAATTAATCATCCGAGTAGTGGGGCAGCGATTAACGCATTGCGCTGTGAACTATAATTCCCGGCCATGGCTAACATCAGTGCCAAGTGATATTTGAAGTGATCCAAGGTCTTGAATCTTCATCCGGCAGTGGTTAAATCCACCAATTAGTCAAACATTGATTATGTGCAAGTGATAATACTGTGGATGTAAATGTATGTGATTATACAGTACATTCCTTTCTCAATTCTCTGCGGGATGAAGGCTTCTGACGCAGTGTTGGTATTGAGGGTTGTTTGACCATACTTCACCACACTGGTCACTGCGAGTGGGTTGAGGAGGTGCCCAAAACTGATTCGAATATCACTCACCAGTGATGTTAGCCGTGGCCGGGAATCAAACTTAAGTTGCCAGGTTCATAAGTGTGTGCAACATCACCCACAGCTGTGCATGTGTGTGCCTATCTTACAGATTGTAATAGATAATTGAAAAAAAATACACGGCATAAAAATATATTGCATGGAAACATATCGCGCGGTTAGAAACAAATGGCATAACGTATAGATTTACAGTACCAGTGTTTTAATTGTACATTTGTATAATTATTACAGGATTGAAGGGGGACTCACAGTACTAATCACTCGACCCTATTGGCAACACCTTTATTACAATTCGACTCCCCCCCCCCCACTAAACATCATTATTGAACACCACTAACGCTAGTCGGTCAAATCTACATCATTTCAACTTTCTTTTTTATTGCGTGGCTGCTGTAAATGTAACTACACGGATGTACGACCACATTCCGCGTTAACGCAAATTTATTTCTTTTTTTAGAACAGCATAATGTGGCATAAGTTACAAGGTTACTGCATGTTTTTTTTTTTAATTAAGGCTTATTTAACATATTAGAGCCGTAAGCAAAGATCTGTTCCTCTTGTAGCCCGCTAATCTTGCATCGGAATCCCACCTCACAACAGCTTTCCACAAGTATCAGCTGGTGAAATCGTTTTGTGCAGAAACACTGTTTTAGACCTGCAACGCTATGCCCCCTATTCCCCTCGCAAGTCCATGAATTGTCACGATTTGTTCGTGTGAATCGATTGCAGAATCAATTCCTATTTTTAACATCGTGTTGGAGTCCCTCTCATGGGTTACAGGAGCAGCGCAAAACCAATTGCCAACGTGTTCGAATACAAAATAATAAATTCGACGCGTGTGCCGTGTGCTCAGTAATCGATTTTTATATCGATGAATTGATACGTCGTTGTACCCCTACTGTGTCGGAGTGGGTGTGCAGCTTCCAATGCAAGGTTAGGCTGGGTTGGAGCATCGTCTGCCACACACACACACAGAGCTGGCACTGAAAATTCCAGTTTCATCGGTCTCCACTGGACTGTGCTCCATGCCAATATCCAGCAAGTACTCTCTCTGACGACTCGTCACACAGTCCTCCTGCGCCAGTGTTACACCCCGATACAGCAATGGCCATCTAATGCTTGCTTTAATTCCAAAATTCTCATGCCTGCCTTGTTGCGCCACGTCCTGACCAGCGTTCTGCTCAAGGCACTAACGGAGGACTTTCCCTGGCCACCGCTCATGCTACGTATGCCTGCATATCAAGACGAGCGAGCACACGACAAAGCCCGGGGTCAATTATGAAATCACAAAAACAGAAACACCGTTATCTGCAATTTAATGACACTGTGATTCAAATTCATTACGAATGACATAGCTACAATTGTAACTGACCTCAGGTCTGAGACGTGACTTTTACACAAAAATGGGCACATCGTCTTCTAAGTTGCCCAGAGTATGGCCACACCGTTTTGTTGCTATTTGTGAACGTAGACTAGATCGTTGAACCTTGTTGAACTTTGCACATGGTCCTTGCCCTGTCCTCATCAGGTGCGGATTTGCCAATCGTTGGATACATCCACTGTTAGCGATTGTTTTTCAGGTAAAAGACTCTAATGGTATCTTGTTTCATTTGAGGCTCCTGGATTACAGGTGCACTGGACTTCAAAATTAAATTAGATAAACTTACGTAAAACGGTCACCTTATTTTTCCATTAGGAGTGAGACTTCAGCAGGCCGACTTCTACTGCAAACACCTGGAATTTTCAGCTGAAAGGCTATACATCAATAAAAAAAAATGTTTAGAATAATGCATTACATCACTGCAAATGTAGAGTTTTACGTGAAAGTAAGATTTTATTCTCGGCAGCAGCAAATGAATTGAAACATCACACGAGTTGCCACCGGTTGGTTAAGAGTTAAACAGTTTTTGCGGCGTCTCGCTGCACGATGTACGCCCGCGCACTACATTTTTGGTCGGCAAAGCACGCAAAAGCCTCACGGCCCTCGGGTGCAGAGGGTGGGTGCAGCGTACGCCGCATCGAGGAGAACTCGCCGCGCGCTTCGTAAACCGGCGCGGCGTTCGGTTAGGTAAAGCGCACGGACGCCAGGAATAATCATCACACGACCTTAAGCTGGGGAGAGACAACACGGACGGCACACAACATTTACGGGGGCGTGGTTATAACGACTACAAACGATGACGTTGTTATTTATTCTCTTCCAGGGGCAGTTACATGCCGCGCGGCATCACTCCAGATATATGTCTTCTGTGGGACAGGCATACTCCAGGTACTCCTTGTAGAACACCTGGAAAGCTTTCCTGTGAAATAAAGCAAAGTGACATTTAAAGTAATGAGAGGCCAGGATATTTATGACGTGGCACGTTTAGTGACGAGAAATAACGGTACTCGATAATCACCAACGCTCCGGTCAAATCGCCAAAATGTAATTGTCTGTAATGAGATCGGCCCGGAAGGGTCCCAATGGAAGATTTCCGCGCACGCGTGTATGGATGAAAATATGGATTAAAAGATTCACTGACATGTGAAATTGCAAAACTGAACGAATGAGCACATCTATACCGTCGAGGCAGAACGCTGAAATTGTTGCGGACAAGAGGCAATATGAGACGTCCATCAGGAAACTCGTCACATTGCGAATAACTCCTTTGTTGCCGACTGTGAGAGCCGAGTGAATCTTGGTTAGGAGCTGTTTTTTTTGTCGTTCATATATTGTTTATTCCGTGCATGCCGATGTGATGCGCGTATTTAGGGATCACATACGGATCAAGAGCCTTGTCATGTAAAAAGCCAGTACAAAGTACCAGAAGTTGGCTGGTGCATTGCAGAGTGTGAAATCATCCACGACTGCTGAATGCTAATGAGGCCACAGCACTTGCTCACACTTTATGTGGCATGGGGGAATGCGCCTGTGATATGTCTTGGCGTGTCGTGCGCACACATAAAACCCACAGCCATGTATTAAACTGACCAGAAAAATACACTGCACACACCAACTCTACAAATACATCCATTGGGTAGCAAACGTGTTCTGTATTTCGGCAAACATTTCCAATTATCGGCTGGGTAACTCAGCTAAGCTTACAATAACTCACAGTCACATTTGATGAGATAAAGTGTGGGTACTCCTGCCTCTTCTCTCGACATCTGACCAGTGTGAAACAGTAGGCCAAAATTCCCTCCAGAAGAGGCCCTTCATAGCTCCCTCTACCGAAAAGGGCCCTCTGCCAAAAGTGGCACGAGCGAGCAATTCCACGGCCGCACCTTCACCTCTTACACTGACCACAGTGAGCACCTCACACTCAACAGCAGCACCATAGGATTCTCTAAAATATGAGACGGGAGGTGACCCGAGTTATTCCCATGGGCTTTCCTGCAATGCTCACAGTCGTTATGCTGGTGCCGCCTCATGCCCCGGCTTTGCCGCGCACCGTAACGACCGCTGCGGCCTTGCGAGTCAGAGGGGCCGGCAAGTTGGACTGGCACGTTGCCTCGCACTCAGTGCTGAACATTAAAGGTAAACGGTTCAACCATCAAGCTAGACGCCGAAAGCCTTGACAGGCTCGTCGGTTTTGTCGAAGCCCTTGCCCCCGCACACGTCACGAGGGCTCACGCACGAGAGAGGGCCAAGCTCACCCGACGCTCTCCGCCACCGGTCGAGTGGAGTCCTCGGCCACGAAGACGTGGCAGGCGAAGCGATGGTCCGACGGGTGCTTGGTGATGAATCCAAAATAGCTGCGGAACAAGCAGAATCTCTACAGCGGCGCGCGCGCGTGCACACACTTGCACGGGCGGGGATGTCGCATGGTTACGGGGAGACGGATGAAAGGCGTAACGAGAAGATTGTAAAGCTGGGCTCTCGGGACTGTTTGCAACCCGGTTTGAGCATTTGTATTCATAGACATTTCGAAGCCCATTAAACTCTGCAAATATTCCCCGGTTCGCCATTCATTTGTTGTTTTGCCATGTGCTATGCGTTTGCGGGCAGTGCACTCATGCATAAATTTGAGACTGCAAGGACGAACAGGAGTGCGTTTAAGCCTGTGCTGCGTTGTTGCTTAGCATATGTCTTTATTTCCTTTGTACTATTTATTTTGCACAAATCCAGCACAAAACACGTCTACAGAAATGAATTAACATTCCTACCTCTGCTATTTATCAGCATAGTCCAAGAGGCACAACAATTGCCTGTGAAATACCACTCTTTCTGCTCAAGGCTGAAATATCGTAAAATTGGAATCTGCGCTTATTACACGCATGAACAAAAATAACTTAATCCGATTGAATAATTAATCATCGTTATAAAAATAACTCGCTATTTTCCATGATGAATATCTGATTATTTTAATTTAAATCAGATTAAGTTGGTGTACGTTTTGAATTTCTCTGCGTTTATTTGTTAATGTCAACTAATAACAAACCACTTGTGTCAATGGAAATAGAGTGGAAATGTCAGTTTTCTCCAGGGCCCCAAAGTATAATGTGCAATCTGCAACTATAACGTAAATATATCAATCTGCCCATCTCTCTATCTTGCGATTAAAAAAAGGGCGAGTATCAGAAACGTCAGTATATATATCTTTCCACTGTGAAGGCAGTATTACTGGAAAATGTGGTGAGGTCTTTTTAATGGCATGCACCAGTGGCTGTGAAACTAAGTACATTCCTCCGGCAATGAGCGAATGCCTGGCTTCCCGATTCTCTTTAAAACTCGTACGTAGTCCGACGAATTCTCGGCGATGAAGCCGCCAACCCTGTGTCAAGAGAAAGGCCCTGAAGGATGACGCCACTAGACTACTGCTGAAGTCACTTCAATCGGCCTCCTCATCCACACTCGGGAATAGAGGGCACACCTTTAACGTGGCCTGCAAAGAGTGGTCACCGAGTGCCATGCTCGTTGCAGACAACTGGCGGTGTGCAGTAGCACCTCCCTCCACTTCTCTCTGTCCTGTCTGCGTTGTTAACCTGCATTCCCATCCATTTTCCCACATCGTCGTGGTATGTGAGCTGAGGCTCATTTTTATTCTCGTCACTGGTGTAAGTAAGCCCAGTTGACTGAATAAAAGAATAAATACCATTGCAGTTTTAGTTAAATTACAAATTTGTGTTTCACCATCCCGCAGTTCTGCTCTGCAACCAGTCATGAGCATGCTTTCATTCAGCTACACATATGAGATGCCACAGAGATATATATATGCATATACAAATGTTCGAAAGGCAATAAATATCTGTCATTGAAGAATGTAGTTTTCCGTACTTGCTTTTCTTGGGGTGGTAACCGCAAAATGAGACATTCCTCAGCTTGAAGAAGTGGCTGCATTTGCCTCCCTGATGGAGGACAAAATATCAAAACAAACTTTACTTAGCACAATTCATGCAGGAAGGCAATACAAAGTGCTTTACATGACAAAATAAAAGCGACTAATACAATGTAAATAACAATGAGGATACATTAAAAATGACATAACATACTACGTAGATAGATATAAAGAATATCAAAAATAAAGTGAATAAAAATATCACGACGTTTCGATCGCAACACAAGCGGCCGTCATCAGGAAAAGGGGCTAGCCTCTAAAGGCAAACTCTTTATAAAGGTTTGGAGATGGGCGTAGCCCAAGTGTATCAGCAGCACCAGCAGCATGGGTGGGGCAGAAATGTCAATGCAGCAGCAATGCAGCAGCAATGCCAATGCAGCAGCAATGCCAATGCAGCAGCAATGCCAATGCAGCAGCAATGCCAATGCAGCAGCAATGCCAATGCAGCAGCAATGCCAATGCAGCAAAGGGCTGCCAGGAAATCACTACACCCCGCTCCACACACCACACATGGATGGTACTTTGCAAGCCTACTGGCTAGCAACAAAGATTCGTTCGTGAAGCAATCCATATATACAGACACAGATACAATTTCAACCGAGAGGAAGGATATAGACTCAGCAATAATTGGAAAGATGTCATCAACCACTTTGGGTCATGACTTGACTTGTGTTTTCTTGTCAATAAACCTCCACCGTCAGCAGTGTGGTGTGTGGAGCGGGGTGCAGTGATTACCTGGCGGCCCTTTGCTGCATTCGCATTGCTGCTGCATTGCTGCTGCATTGGCATTGCTGCTGCATTGTCATTGCTGCTGCATTGGCATTGTTGCTGCATTGCCATTGCTGCTGCATTGGCATTGCTGCTGATTTGGTATTGCTGCTGCATTGGCATTGCTGCTGCATTGGCATTGCTGCTGCATTGGCATTGTTGCTGCATTGGCATTGCTACCCCACCCATGCTGCTGGTGCTGCTGATACACTTGGGCTACGCCCATCTCCAAACCTTTATAAAGAGTTTGCCTTTAGAGGATAGCCCCTTTTCCTGATGACGACCGCTTGTGTTGAGATAGAAACGTCGTGATATTTTTATTCAATTTATTTTTTACTATCTATCTACGTGCCTTCACCGAAAGAACCAAAGAATGTGAATTCCTGCAATCACGAAAGATTTAAGTTGTAATAAAAAGCATAATAAACACAATAAGTGCATCCTAATTAAAAGCCATTCGAAAAAGGTACATTTTAAGATTTCGCTTTAAAAACATTCACCGATTCTGATGCCTGATCAGACGCGACAGCGGCTTTTTGCTACTACGCCGAGCCACGCTCGCCAGTGTCATGACAATCCATGTCTGTGACGTGCGTGCATCCTCACGCGTGGTGTTTAAGCTGCGGCAGTGGGAGTCAAAATGTGCCCCTGCGAGGCAGCACAGAGGAGGAAGTTTCTGCGAGAGCTGTGTGGAGCTGGAGCATTGTCGTGTCGATATGCGCGCGGGAGTGTGGTTTTATTGGTGGAGAGAGCACTGCCCGATGAACACGGTTAGCCGGCAACACTATGCTGCCGGATAGTCACATGAACACGTGACAGAGCCCTATGGTTAGTGTTAAAATGTCCTTAAAGCAGGCTTTTAGACGAAGGGCACACCCTTTTACGGGCCCCACACAGAGTGGTCAGCACAAGTAAATCAAATCCAGAATCAGCTGAATATTGCGGGGAAAAATAACGTGATTCTCTGATGTGGACGCAGTCATTGGTAACCCAGGTTAAGAGACCAAAAAAGTAAAGGAAGCGTTGCTGTTGCCGCTGGCGTCGTCACCGCGTTCATACCTGGTAGGAGCCGGCTTTGAGCACCAGGCGGATGCCCTGGGCCGTGATCTCGAGCGTGCACACGGACGGCGGCTTGAGATGCACCGTCACCCTCCGCGCCTGCGCAATCTGGGGACACGCGGAGCACCGCACAGGGCAGCGGCAACCGGTTGGAAAACGGCGCGATCAGCCATTCGCCGTGAGTGCATGTCGGTGTTCTCACCTCGCCACTCCCAAGATCATTCTGCCTGCCATTTGATTTTTTTTTTTCGCTTTCCTTGTTTTTATCCGTAGAACGCGAAAGAGTGCCAAGACGTTAACTAAGCGAATGCAAGTGCCGACGTGATGCATCGCAATCCATTGGCTAATTACGTCTCTTTGGACGATGATGAATAAGCGTGACACTGTTTACATGTGTCATGGTCTGGCCATTAATATTGCGCTCTTATTTGCCACTTCTGACATCGTTGATGAGCAGGCTTCTACTGTTCACACGTCCTCTATTTTTTCTCCCTCATTAAAGATGAACAGTTAATCATGTGTTTCTACAGCTTCGTTGGTGAACCAAGTGGTGACCTCCGTCTTTGTGAAACGGCAAGCCTCTCTCGTAGCTCAGCTGTATGGGTACCGAGCGATGGAGCCGCTATTCAGTTTGCAATTAACAACGCAACGACGCTTCGATTAACGTCAATTCCTAAGCTCACAGCATATCCATCCAAGTTGTTTAAAAAAAAAAGTATTATACTTTGCATTAATTGTAAGCAAATTATATGCAAGTGATAAATGTAGGGCACTGCAGCAGACAACACTGTACAAATGCGACACAAAAAAAGAGAAACAAGACAAACAAGACCGTGGGAACGAAGCAAAACCATTACAGAATCTTGACTCATCATCACCACCACCACCGTCGTCGTCGTCGTCGTCGTCATCACCATCATTTGTTGACACTGCTCCCCCCATGCAGCGTACCTTGAGGTGCCAAGTAACGTCTCGAATTGAATCGTGATGCAACATCCCGTGAAAAGCACTCGCCGTGGGAGGGCATGACCCGCCGGACAGCGGCCAGAACGCACCTTCTGCATGGCAGCACACAGTACGTTGTTCCCCTTGTGGTAAGGGACCTCCACGGAGCCCAGGAAGTGCAGCCCGAAACGCTCCACCCAGTCGTCGTTCCGGCTCTTGCCTGCATTCGCAAAAATGCAGACACGCGTGCGTCGATGAAATCAGAGCGTCAATAACCCTGCAACCCAACAACCTGCCACAATACAAATTGCGCACAAACTCGCCAAATGACTGTGTTCGCACGTAAGTTGGGTGGGCAATGGTTAAGCATTGCACATGACTGACGTTTGGGAAGTCTTCAATGAAATCTGCACGTGTGTTTGTGCAGCATGCATTCCTCAGTCGCACAGGAGAAACTCCGATTGTTATTTGTTCACAAAGCAATGCATTAAATTGTGACGATACATTGAAAAGGTCACCTACAACAACTGGCACGTATTTTTTAATCGTCTGCGTCTGTCAACCGAGCAGCATAAAACAAATTTCACCACAGTTAGTGTGGTGGGGTAAAGAGTTCCTACAGTGAGGGAAAAAAAGTATTTGATCCCCTGCTGATTTTGCACGTTTGCCCACTGACAAAGAAATTATCAGTCTATAATTTTAATGGTAGGTTTATTTGAATAGTGAGACAGAATAACAACAACAAAATCCAGAAAAACGCATGTCAAAAATTTTATAAATTGATTTGCATTTTAATGAGGGAAATAAGTATTTGACCCCTCTGCAAAACATGACTTAGTACTTGGTGGCAAAACCCTTGTTGGCAATCACAGAGGTCAGACGTTTCTTGTAGTTGGCCACCAGGTTTGCACACATCTCAGGAGGAATTTTGTCCCACTCCTCTTTGCAGATCTTCTCCAAGTCATTAAGATTTCGAGGCTGACGTTTGGCAACTCGAACCTTCTGCTCCCTCCACAGATTTTCTATGGGATTAAGGTCTAGAGACTGGGTAGGCCACTCCAAGACCTTAATGTGCTTATTCTTGAACCACTCCTTTGTTGCCTTGGCCATGTGTTTTGGGTCATTGTCATGCTGGAATACCCATCCACGACCCATTTTCAATGCCCTGGCTGAGGGAAGGAGGTTCTCACCCAAGATTTGACAGTACATGGCCCCGTTCATCGTCCCTTTGATGCGGTGAAGTTGTCCTGTCCCCTTAGCAGAAAAACACCCCCAAAGCATAATGTTTCCACCTCCATGTTTGACGGTGGGGATGGTGTTTTTGGGGTCATAGGCAGCATTTTTCCTCCTCTAAACACGGCAATTTGAGTTGATGCCAAACAGCTCCATTTTGGTCTCATCTGACCACAACACTTTCACCCAGTTGTCCTCTGAATCATTCAGATCATCTGACCACAACACTTTCACCCAGTTGTCCTCTGAATCATTCAGATGTTCATTGGCAAACTTCAGACGGGCATGTATATGTGCTTTCTTGAGCAGGGGGACCTCGCGGGCGCTGCAGGATTTCAGTCCTTCACGGCATAGTGTGTTACCAATTGTTTTCTTGGTTACTATGGTCCCAGCTGCCTTGAGATCATTGACAAGATCCTCCCGTGTAGTTCTGGGCTGATTCCTCACCGTTCTCATGATCATTGCAACTCCACGAGGTGAGATCTTGCATGGAGCCCCAGGCCGAGGGAGATTGACAGTTCTTTTGTGTTTCTTCCATTTGCGAATAATCGCACCAACTGTTGTCACCTTCTCACCAAGCTGCTTGGCAATGGTCTTGTAGCCCATTTCAGCCTTGTGTAGGTCTACAATCTTGTCCCTGACATCCTTGGAGAGCTCTTTGGTCTTGGCCATGGTGGAGAGTTTGGAATCTGATTGATTGCTTCTGTGGACAGGTGTCTTTTATACAGGTAACAAGCTGAGATTAGGAGCACTCCCTTTAAGAGTGTGCTCCTAATCTCAGCTCGTTACCTGTATAAAAGACACCTGGGAGCCAGAAATCTTTCTGATTGAGAGGGGGTCAAATACTTATTTCCCTCATTAAAATGCAAATCAATATATAACATTTTTGACATGCGTTTTTCTGGATTTTTGTTGTTGTTATTCTGTCTCTCACTGTTCAAATAAACCTACCATTAAAATTATAGACTGATCATTTCTTTGTCAGTGGGCAAACGTGCAAAATCAGCAGGGGATCAAATACTTTTTTTACCCTCACTGTACCTCCTACGAGAAGTCTAGCCAGCATGATCCTACAACAATTTATAAAACAACCTAAAATCTACATCTGCCAGAAGTAAAAGGTAACGTCAGATGTACACCGACATGCTGCGTTGGCAGTTGTTCCCACTTTTCTTAATGGAGACATTGGCATGCTTCCACCAAACATGATGTTAAAATGAACATTCGTCAACGGTGAATGAGACGCGAGTATAGATTGAATGTCCACGTAGCATTGTTCAGTGTTTTTTAAGCATAAATTTCGCTTCAATGTTATGAGGAGAAAAAAAAATCCCCATATATATTGTAAAACTAAATTATTCACCGTATCTAAGTTGAGATTTGCAGAGACAGGCAGGTAGCGAGCTCTGCTTCGTTTTAACTGCATGTGACGCAAGTGCATTGTGTTTAATGCACCAGTGGGCGCGGCTGGACTGTATGTATGTTGAACTTCTTTTGCACCGTACGTAGCCAACCGTGCTTATCGGAGGTGCGGGGGAGATCTGTTCTCCTGGGGGGGGCTGCATGCATTTCTTGGCCTGCAAAAACATGCTGCCCAGTCTAATGCCCACCTGCCTTTTTGGTGATAAAACAGAAACTGCATGGGAATCTTCACTTATGCACTCTCACGGAAATGTGCATACAGCGTAGAGAATGATCGAGGTAAAGGCGCAGGACAGCAATTCATTACGCCACTATTGGCGGGTACGGCCTCCACTTGACGATGAGGTTATTCTGGGCTACTCCTTCCTTCATGCTGGCTCGACTTCTCGTTGGAGGCAGGAGCCCCCACTCGTTACCCCACCTCACTAACTGTGGTGAAACTGTTTTTTATACTGCTCGGTTGACAGACACGGGGGGGGGGGGGGGGATTTAAAAAAAACCTGTCAATCATTTTAAAGGCCACCGCGGGGAGATTGAACCAGTGACCTCTGGGGTGTAAGTCCAGTGTGCTAGTCATTACACCCCACAGCAGCATCCCTAGATAAGTTTAGAGGTAAAGGCGCAGCCCTGAAATTGCTGACTTACGCTACTGTTGGCGGAAGGGCCCCCTAGAGGAAGCTCTTAAAACATCCCCACTAGAGTGTACATTTGGCCTACTCTTCTAAGCCGGCCAGTTGCCTTGGAAGAGGTGGGGGTGAGTAACCAGACAGAATGTTACAGGTGAAATAATAATAATAATACTAGGTAAACAAGCAAGAAAGAGAGCAGGGGATGTTGACGGGCGTCACCATAAACGTCCTCGGGGTCCTGCGACACGGCGTGCGCGTAGTAGGCGGGGAAGACTCCGTGCTCGCCCGTGCGCATGTTGTATCCCTCGCACCAGAAGTCGTCCGCCTGCCTCTCCACGTACAGCGGGTCGTCCACGTCCATGGGCACCTCGTCCGGGTGCCGCGGCACAAACCTGGCACCGCGTGCGCACGCCGTCAGCGGTTGTGTTCGACAGAGGTGGCCGAGGGATGGCTCAGGAGTGGGAGCCCCCCGAGCCAGCTGACTAAGATCCAGAGTTCCAACCTGGCTCTTCCTTCCGATATTAGTTAAGCCACTAGAGTTATGCACTTTTAAATCTAGATTGAAAACCCAATTATTTCAGAACTGCTTTTCATGTTTATTTTGATGGTTTTCCCCTGCACCTCCGATTAGCACGGTTGGCTATGTACGGTGCGAAAGAAGTTCAACATACATACATTAATCACAGGTTTCAACCGCCTGTGACTTAACAGGGTCCTCATGTGCCGTGGGTTGATGGTCTCATCAATGATTGACAAAAAAACAATCATTACATTTAGTTTGTCATTTAACGTGACTAAATTCCAGCTCTGAGAATTACCAAAGTTGTTTTGAGTGCAGGGCATGTGTGGAAAGACGAGAGAACGTACACAAATTAAATCTAATATTTTTACTGTTGAGAAAAAGTTAGTTGGCTTGTGCAGAGCACGTTGCTAGAAGGGATGATAGTTGGCGGTTGAGAAAAACAAAGGAGTAGCAGCCAAGGGAGGCAAAACCTCCAAGGACATCCACTATAGCGACGAGATTATACTGGTAGGAACCTCCTGGTTACACCAGCCTACAGGGTATTATTGTGTCCGTCCGTCGTGCATCCAAAAATGGGAGGGGTGGGGCTGGGTGGAGAGGGGAGGGTGAGGAGGGGCTAGGTGGGGAGGGAGGGGCTGGGTGGGGAGGGGCTGGGTGGGGAGGGGCTGGGTGGGGAGGGTGGGGCTGGGTGGGGGGTGGGGAGGGGTGGGGCTGGGTGGGGAGGGGCTGGTCACCCCGTGGTGCCCTTATAAAACTCAACGTTTAACCTACCCACGCCGCCTTGTGCCCGCCCTCACAGTCGGGCATATTTGCGAAATACACCACGTGGTGCCGCCGTTGACCTTGGCCATTGACCGAGCAACCCAACGTTCCTACCAGCTCCCTCCGCAGGAATGTGTTGACATCAGCTCGTGTGCAGGTGCTAGGTCGATTTTAACGTCACAGTAACATGAGATATGGTGATAATGTGGGGACGCTTTCATCCAGGAGTGAATTTATCACGGCTGATCAAGAAGATGATGATTTGAGTCTACCAATTTAATTACGCAGCCTAAAATTCACGGTCTAATTTTCATCACCTGAAGACGGCACGATGGGTCTGCTCCCGTTCCTCTCCATCAATGACGCAGGAGAACAGCCCAAAGGACTCCGTGCCTGGGGAGGAATAAAAGAATAACAGGAATTCAGCTCACAGTCGTTTGGCAAGAGGCTCCATGGTGGAGAGGGGCACAGGGAGGTCAGGAAATGTCAGCGTCCTCGTCTCCCGTGGCCTTTGGGGACCAGACGAACATCCTCCCGATTCAATCGTGACAGGCACACCTGCAAAAGAGCCCAACTCCTTAGAGGCCTCCAGTGACCATGTATGATATTGGACATGAAGTAGCTTTTCCTGAAGCCAGGGCAAAATGTTTATCTGTTTCTACATTTGCTAGAGCTGGAATGTATTTGTTTTTTTTTACCAAAAACAATACAATAACAATAATAGATCATTCACAGCCCTTTGTGAATCCACAGCTGGGTAAATGTTGGTCACGGGGGTTGTTTGACCATACTTCACCACACCACACTGATTAGTGTGGGTTGATGAAGGTGGGGAGGAGAAAGATTGGTAGTGTGGTGGGGTGAAATCAGGACTGGTTCAGACATCATCACCCAACTAATGTCAGCTGTGCCTAGCAATTGAATTCAGGTTGTCATATCACGAAAAATGTTAACTACTGCACCACCGCTCCACCCCCATGATGAGGGATGTTCATTCCACACTTTTCTTACGGAAAAAAAAAACTACCGAATTCTATATAAAAAAAACAATGATTCACACCATGCTTGATGCTGCAATCGTAAACAAATACAATTCTTATTCTCGTGAATTCCTGCAGTCACCAAAGCTTTAAGTCAATAAATACAATTCTATTGGCAATGCGTAAGCTGTAGCTCATTCACAAAACCGACGCTTTGTTTTTTATAAATAAAATCTACCAGCACTGCCCACCACCGCCTCTGTGCGGGATACACATCTTTGGTGGAGGGTGAGTAGGGGGAAGGTGTGACGTCAGCATGACGCACGAACCTAGCTCAACGCTTGAGGTTGCGGGTGACGTCGACAACATTGGTAATTCTCAGAGCTGGAATTTAGTCACGTTAAGTGACAAACTAAATGTAATGATTGTTTTTTCAATCACTGGTGACAATGCTGAGACCATCAACCCAGGACACAGATGTGTACGTTGACGTCACCACCGCGCACTTGTTCACCCACGCACCAGCCAGCCCAGCTAGCCAGCCAAACTTTTTTCTAAATCATATACAGTTATGATATATATAGTCTCGGATTTGCAAGTTGTGCACTTGGCTAAAATACCAACGCAGAACTGTCAGAGATTTTAATGCCAATGCGCAGATTACCTTCAGCTCTATCTAATTTAAAACACGGTACTCTCTACACACTGCCAGTGGGCAGAGACAAGAGTTTGCACTTATTAATAGTGGGTGCATGACCTCTGCGATAGAAGCACTGCCAATCCGATCATTGTAAAATGTCTTCTTCTGCACGCAAACCACATATAAGACTACACAATGAGATGCTATATTCATACTCGGAAGTCACAGACTTCACTACGCCGCGTTCACCAACGTCAACGGATCAACCAAGCACGGCACGGGCAGCCGAGACTCACTGGAGGATCGCGTCGCCCCGTTCATGAAGACGTTGAGGAACTTCTTGGAGAAGGGGAATTCCGACTCTGGCGAGGAGCATGTCGTGTCGGAGAAGCACGCCGCCTCGTGCCTCCGGAACGCCTCCGCGTCGCGCGGCGAGGCGACGTCGGGCGGCACGGGCGTGCCGCCGCCCCTCTTGCCGCCGCCGCCGCCGTCCTCCTCCGCCAGGCCGCTCGCGATGCGCGGGGGGCTGAGCGCCGACATCTCCAGCTTGGTGTGCTCGTCCATCACCAGCATGTAGCGCACCGACTCGTACGAGAGGGCGCTGCTGTCGGAGCAGCGCGTTGGCCTGCGACCGCCACCCGCCGCCGCCATTTGGCGCAGCGCGCACGGCTCTCCGCGAGTCTCTGTCGCCTTGCTCTCGGGCAGCGTGGCACCTGGCGACTTCGCCTCTTTGCAGCCGTCGCCTTGCACCGGCAGCAATTCCAATGAGGCCCACTGAGGGTCTTCCTCGAGGACTCCGACGCACGACGGACGATGCTGCTGCTGCTGCCCCTCCCCGAGGCTTGGCTGCTCGCGCGCCTTGCGCTGCAACACGGTGAAGTATTCCGCACTCCGCTCCTTCGCCGCTCCCTCTTCATCATCATCATCATCGATATCATCCTCCGCCTCTTCATCATCCTCCTCCTCATCGTCGTCCTCCTCGTCCTTCCGAGCGGAAGCGTCTCGGGCCGTCTCGGTCTCTCCGTCGGGTTCATCCCTTCCGAGCGGAGCCAGCAGGCCGGACTCGGCCATCCCCGGCGGGTCTTCCCGTGCGGGCCTGGAGCTCCCTGGCGGAGCCTCGCGCACGAGATCAGCGCTGCCGGGCGGAGCCCCACGCACCACCGGCTCCTCTCTCCCCGACACCGCCCTGTGGCTCGCCTCAGCCCGCCACAACGAGCCGTATGCAAGATTTTCCATTCCCGTGCCGCTGTACTTGGCCATCGCGGGTCCATTGTGGTTGGAGCTCGAGTTGAGGTTGGAGGATGCTTGTCGGTCACCTGCCATGGCCGCTTGCTGCTGCTGCTGCTCTTTGAGGCATAAGTGGGAAGGAGAGTGAAACCCTGGCAAAAAAAAAGATGCGAAACGATGCATTGTTCCATCAATAAATAGCGATTGTTAAAGTTACGATTCATCCATTGAATTTCACCGTATACAAATAAATGTTTCTGATTAGTGTTTTGTACGTAATCATTTCACATCACCCATGCAGCCACTATAGGCGCTACCATTCACCGAAATGTAAAAAACAAATCATTTATATCTGCTCCTCTGAATCGGGAGAGTTGATTAAATCGTCAGAGGTGGACCGTTTTCACTCCGAATGAGAATGCAATACAATTAAAATATAACTGTAATGAGAATATAAATAGTGCAGTCTATTGGATTAATATTCTCAGAAAAGGTGAAATGTGTGCCGTGTTTGTGAAACGTGTGTGGTAAACATCACTCACCATTCCGTAGCGGTGAAGAAGACCTCACTTTATCCTGCCACGTGCTCTTCTTAGGGCCACAGTTGTTGTTGTTATTTAAAGTATCCTATGAATTACACACATGCAAAACTTTAACATTTGTATCTATGATTTAAAAAAATCATATAGTGCAAAAACTGCAATGGTGCATTGCGTTCTTTAGATTCTCGCTGGATTGTGTGCTAGTCAAGCATTTTATCAGGCTCAAGAGGAAATTCACAGTCTGGAAACAAATGAACACATGTACGCAACCACAATTTTTCAACAGCAAGACATGGCATGAAGCTCAGCATGCTTTCCATGTCAAGATAACATAAACATTCCTGCACACGTTGGATTAATTGTCATCTGGGGTTACAATTTGATTCAAGAATGAATTATTGCGTGTTGATGTTTACCGTTTAATTAGCATTGTTTCTCTTTTTACATATCTTGTTAGTGCCACCAAATAAAATGTTAAATTGTCATTATTTGCACAACATTTGTATGAATCTGAAATCATACATTTCTTACACATAAATGTATCGCGAGTGTAAAAACATAATTTTAGTCAATGAATGAATGCAGTGTTACATGCCTCGTGCTAATCACTAATCACGCCCTTCAATTAGGTAGGCAAATGAGGTAGGCATATGGCTCAGTGTTTATTTGCTATTTTTTTCAAACCGAGAGCCTCACCACCTTGTAACCAGGGCCGGTCTCCACCTTTACAAAAAAAAACCTGTAGCCCCTTTGTGGCAAAGGGGAACTAAAACTGATGTGTAAGAATGTGTTCACTATAAAAGGTGAATGCATAACTTTTGCTAATTACACGCTGCAATAGCAGCTGAAGAGGAAATATCATGTAGGTGTTGGCTGGTGGCATTTTCAGTCGACATGTAACGACGCTTCAATTTCGTCCATTAAAACTGATTCGCACGGTTGTGATCCACGCATCCAATAGTCCGTGTGAGAATCGATTATCTATTAGTTATGCAAATTGTATGCAATCAATATACAAATGCTACATATAGCAATAATCGAACAATCAAAACTGTATTCACAAGATAGGAAAAAGCCAAGAAACAACATAATCGAGACAAATACAATCAATTTCTGAATTGAATCGTGAAACCAGTTTCTGAATTGAGTTACAGTTACAATTCATCACATTTCTCGGGGAATACATCATTGCATCCCTGCTGGACAAAAGGGACATTCTCCAATGGTGGCACACAACGCATTATTCTCCTTGTGGTAGGGAATGTCCACAAAAGGGAAGTTTAGCCTGGAAGGCGTCCGCCAGTCACCCTGCCGGCCCTATCATACAACCATTATTACACGTCCGATATTCCAAAGTGTGCCAACGTAGCAGAATTTTCTGCCGCAGTGCACCGCTTTCCCACCAACCTGGGGCACGTGGTGGCACACGCCGTGAATGGAAGTTTTGGCGGACGACTGCCCGAGTACTTCCGTCTCAAACTCATCGTCCTCGGCGTCAATCAGCTCCAGCTCCAGGAGGTCCTCTTGCAGGTGTTCCACCAGCGACCCCACCACCTGCTGCTTCAGGTTCAGAATTGGAGCATGAGGCTGCCGAAACAGATGTAAATGTTATTATAAATGCCACACTGTTGTCTACGGTGCAAAGCAGGCATCCCTTTAAAAGTTAATCTAGAATTACATCGAAAACGCTGCTCATCTCGAGCCATGTTACACGCTAATCCTATTACTCTATCTGCACTGTTAATCGATCCACAGAAACCTCCACTGTACACTCATCAATTATTCCAATTATTTCCGTTGCTCAGGTGAAAGTGATGGAAAATTAATCCTATTACTTGCGTTTCTTCCAGATGCTCTAAATTAATCCTTGTAAAGCAATCCTTCCACGTTTAAGAGGGACCCAAATGTGGTGGCAAATTCATCCTATTATCGCCATTCATCAATGGATAACCACGTGATTAAACGGGAGTAATTTACACAAATAGCATCCTCCACAGCACAATGTATAAGAGGAGCTTGCCATCAATATTACATGTGGAAGTGCTCATAAAATATAATTGTTTCATTCATAAACAGTGCACTTTGTTTTGAATGTGTCTTTCTTTTTGCCGCTTAAGATTTGCAGGTAATAAAACTGAAATAAGCACTGAACAAATGTGCTAATAAGCTGCGCATAAATGGCTACGGCTATTACTGGGTTTCGCAATTCACTGCAACATTCGGCTACAGGGGATCATGTCATCACCAAACCGGTACTGTCTTAATAATGCATGAAGCGCACACCGCCATGAACTTGGCACGGCTATAGACTCAGTGGGATGGCATCTAGGACTACAGCAGAAAAAAACTTGCGACAGAGGAAGTCTGGGAGCCACCCCCACCAAGGTTACGGTATTGACAGGCAGTCAAGAGTGCTGCGGTCCGGGCAATGTATTTCTTTACGGAAGGCCAAACGCACCCTTTTATTCTTTCAGCACAGCGACTTATGACCTGCCGACTTGTTTGAAGTGTAAAGGGCTGCCTCGCAGGGACAAGCCCGTGGTTTTGTCCGTCTAGGTGTCACGCGTGTAATCATGGACTGTATCTTTGACTTAAGTCCACATGGTGAATGTGACCAAAGGCCGTAGATATTAGGCACGCCATGATGCATATATTCACCATGACACTAGCTTTCCAAAAGCACTCTGATGAAATCATCTTGTGCACAGGTGCTAAGGTGGCTATGATGTCGCAGGATGGTAAAAGATAGTGGCATCCTGGGAAGGCCTTCATCCAGCAGTGGATTGATTATTGGCTCGTAGTGATGAATGATGCACCGATTTACAAATTAAAACATTGCACTGACAATAGAGGCATCAGATCGTCTGTGTGAGAAACGATGATAGCCATTCTATGCTGGATTGAAGGCCTCCTCATGCTGTACCGGTGATTCGGGTTGTTTTACCATATTTCACCACGCTGATCAGAGAATGTTAATAAAGGGGGACCCATGAGAGGTTCATATATCACTCGTCACTATTGTTGGAAATCAATTCAGGTCATCAGGTTCAAAGCACATTGTATTAACCACTGCACCACGATCCATCCCTATGTGTGTGTATATATAGTATGTAATTGGTTCATATAAACCACTTGAGGGCACTAGATTATTGTGGCATGATATGGCTCCTAATTGCTTGGGAGATGATGAATTGTGGCTATTCAGGGTAATGATTCGATTTGAGGATTCATCTTTTAAAATTGGAGTGACTGCCAGCACCTCTAGTGGCTACAGCGATTAAGTGAACCTATTAGACATGGTACATACAAATAAAACCATTGCTTCCCACATCCACAATTGGATGCAAGTATCGTGGGATTGAGAATTGGCATTTAATTAACAAATCGATGCATAATTCCTCTCCGACTCTACACGCACCAACGTGATTTTAAAAAGAAGAAAGTATTACAGATTTAATCAATTCACGACCCCAAATCGTAACAACATACCAGTCAACCCATACGGTTTACCCGTATTCTTGTACAGGGAAATTGAGTTTTCAGGTCCATACCTTGAACAGCCGTTTCAATACGGGCAAAATTGTTTCGTCTATTTGTTTGTGTTCATCCCTTGTGATGGGACTTTTTAGGATGAACGTTGAGATTTATAAGCGCACGGGGTGACCAATAATGTCTGAATTGGTCTGTAATAAGGTCGGCACTGATAAAGGGGTTGACAGATATGTAACAATTGAGTGAATCATGAGGTATGCAGTTCGTTACACACCAGGTAAATGTATTGGTAAACATATTCAGTTATTCAACTAACCGTCCTGTGTGGCCACAGTGTTGAAGAGAGGACCCCTAGAACATGCGAGATGAGCATGCCACGTACAAAAACCACGATACTTTATTTAAAAAAAAGCACATTTATCAAATCAGCGCCAGTGTAACCACACCGATGTGGGTGTGACTTTTTGTTCGGCCATTTTCTTTAGGCTTCGTGGCTGTTTCAGAATTCCATCCGATTTACAGATACATGCGCCGCTGCATATGTCAGATGAAGAATATGTGTTATGAATGATAATGCCATTACTTACATAAAGGATAAGCCTCACTATTAAAAAAAAAATTCGACAGTTATAATTAACTTTTCAATCCCTGCTGAAGAGCTGTCGTGTGTTGCCAATGACTCAGCATGACTCTACACTCTGTACACAAAATGAATGCAACGTGGCATGCTCCAACCGCAGTGTACGCCACACAGATTCAAAAGTACTACCCTGGCTACACAGGTGTAAAAGTTAAAGGTGCAGCCCTGCAATTGCTTGCTCAAGCCATTGATGGCTGAAGGGCCTCCATTGAGAGGAAGTTCTCGAGGGCCGTCTCAATAAGGTATGTGGTCTCTTTTTCTACGCTGGCCAGATGCGCTTCTGCGAGCGTCTGGAACGCCCTTCCGTCTAATATTAGAAAGCCACTGGAGCTATGCACTTTTAAACCTCAATTGGAAACTAATTTCCTTAGAATTGCTTTGTGTTTACTTTGTTGTCCACCCACCCGTTACATGCTAGTTGACCAACGACGGAGGTGTACCTATTTAAACTTACGGGCGGAGAGAGCCAGGGGGATGTAAGAAACTTGCCCAGATTGTTTTGAATGCTGCGCTGTGAGAAGAACGTGGCAGTTCAGCGACCTCTTGATTGACAGTCCAGTGCGCTGACCATTACACAGGTGTAAGGATAATAATTGGAGTGTACTAGGAGAGGTCTAAGAGTTTGTAGGTAACGTTTGGACCAGAGACTGGTCACAATTACCTCCCAATTGTTCACGTGTGTTATGTAGAAAATAAAGACATCTAAGCATAGTAGCCTTTGGCAGATGTTTGTGAAGCAGAATGTTATCAATTTAGGTCAATAATACCCACATAATTTATTCTGATAATTTAGAATTCAGCAAATTAAAATTAGATTGAGGACAATGTAAACTGCTCGTACAGTGCTGAGCATGCATTGCACATTCTACCAAAGTGGAAATTATTTCCAGCAGTGCTGTGTGTGGTCACGAAGAGACATTGTTATGCATTCAGAGCAGCCTACACCCTTAAGGGCCTTGTTGTGAACTCCTGAGGTTCACGATGAAACTGCAATAGCAAACACACCCCTGTACCTACAATAATTGGCCATATCCACCAATGCACAACAAAGGATGTCGCAACGGTTCTTAAGCATTCATGTTTGATGATGTGACACTTTTATCCAAAAACAAGAATCTTGCACTACACAATACCACAGCAGTCACATCCACCCTTCCCGTAATCAGATGGCGCACGCAATTTCTAAGCACTCATATGTGTGTCCACCCACGTAGAGCAACAATTACAAAATCGAGTTTACTGGTAATTGAGACATTGGGAAATTTGTCAGGCTGATCTCATGAAAAGAAATCCCATCCAAACTGTTCATAAATGCCTAAACTGCCGTTTGTATTTCAGTTCAGGATTGGAGCAGTATGAAGACATGGTATCCAATGGCTTCATTAAAAATTTAAGAATCATGCATTGGCAAGAGTCTGGCTCAGGCATTATGGCTGTGCTGAGATCAAATGTTCTCTTCAACTATACAATGCGAAAGGCCATCAATGCCACAATGACACTTCCCCTACATTTTCTTATAAGGAAATATAACACCGCGATTAAATCCAATGTGTTGCACTTTGCATACGCATTAAACTATGCACCCAAGGGTATGTTTAATAAAGGATGGTTTGTGCACTACAAATATAGAACAAAATAATGATTCTGCTTTTCTCACTATGTGTCTAACGATGAATCTAATCATTGATTAATATCGATTCTTAAGGTTGAGATAAAAGTTATAACTTACAGTCTGTTGCAAATACACTGCTGGATGGTATTGCCATGCTGTATCAGTAATTTGTTTGACCATATTGGTAATGAGGGCCCATAACGGATTCAGGCATCACTTGCCACTGATGTAAGCCATGGTCAGAAATAAAACTCGGGTCACCGGGTTAGTAAAAAGTCCACTACCCACAGCGCCATTGCTCCACCCAAGCTCACAAGCCATTCAAGTGTAAGAATGTACAGCATTTGCAATTCGTATATGTTGTACGAGATGGGTTACTATCCCGGCAGAAACAAGAGGTGCTACCGTTCACTGCAATCTATTCTTGAATCGCATTGCTCCGTGAAACATGAATCGTCCCACCCTTACTATTCACAAATTGTTCGGGTGAATTTGAAGTAAAATTTGTGAAACTAACTGCCAAGGTCCTATATAGGGAATCTCAGTCACTTAATAAAACTAGCTTGCAATACCAACATGATTTAAAAATAAGTGGGCCCTTGTGTGCCTGTGTTTTTAAATTACAAGGTTAACAAACCTCAAATGCAGCATCCATCAAAACAGTTGCTTCTTTGTGCGCTTACTGGGGTGAAATACTCCTGCAATCTGGCTGTACAGTCCTCTTGTTAGCAAGGCTGTTTTGAGGCTACAACTAATGATACACAACGTACAGTATTGAATATTGCATTATTAATTCATGACCCCATGCTCTTTGCACATTACTTTAAACAATCTATATAGATGTAACGTTTAGGGCAGGAGTGGTGAGCCTTTTCCTTGCTAGGGACCAAATAGGACTGATGTGCATTACCTGCCAGGATTATTTGACTTGTTTTCATTTAATGTATTTGCTACTCAGTGTCTGCAATGCTATGATTTATCTGCTGTAACTTTATTATATTTTCACAGCTGAATGTTTCTAGCCCATGTCAACAAATAAAATCAATTTTTGAGATACCTTTGACGTGCCACCCATTAAATACCAATGAAAACATGAAAGTGCAAAGATGAATGGTATAGATAGTCCCTTACAGCGACAGAAGTGGAATGAGCTCATCAAAATCAGAAACACAATGTTGAATAATTTCGCTCATAGCACAGTCTGGTAAAAAAATTGGGAGAATTACAAATACACTATAAGTGAAAAAAAGATCATCGCTGTTGCAAGGTGACAAATATTGTAGCGGCGGGCCAAATGAAATAATACCGCAGGTCTTATCCGGCCAGCAAGCCCTCTCGGTCCCCCACCATTGATTTAGACTAATAAGCACATTTTCATCCTTGTGCTGAGCCAGTAAGAATTTATCTGGCTCAAACTGCCACGCGGAAGGTGGCTTAAGGGTGACGTTGACACAGATGTATGTACATTGCATGTGCACAGTGGAGTTATTATACCGAGCCAGTCAGGTCACTCAGACAGGGCGCTGTGATGCCACAGTCGTCCACAATCTCCGAGAAGTCTTCATCCTCAAACTCCTCCAAGCTGATGTCGTTGGACAGGCGGCTGAGCACATGTGAACAAACACAATCGGGAAAACCTGAAACGGAGCTTCACGAGAATTGCTATTAAACGACGCATGCAGTTACGCTGGCAATGCAAGTCATTCAAACTCACTGATAGATACTATATATATACACACGCATTCATAGACACCCCTTACAGGCATTGTAACAGCAAGTGCCTTTGCAAACACACATGTATGCAAATACATGTTCGAGCTAACATTTCACATGAAAGCATTTCACATAAAGGTCCCATGCCCATGTCTAACATCAGCTTGGGGCCACTGGAACTCACGTTTTTATCATAAACCCCATTACGGCAGAGGCCTCCTCAAAAACCCGAGGCGCTTTACTCGAGCATTATGCACTTAAAGTGAAAATAGCGGCAGCAGGGGTACGGCTCAGTGACTTTATTAGGAGCAACACACTGCTGGAAGACATTGTCATATTACACTGAACCATGCGGTCATATGTTGATCTTAGCCGATGGTTAAACACACAAGGCTCAGGGCCTTGTGTCTGGCCTGCATGTCGTCATTATCACTCAAAGATTTTAAATGTGCAGTGTGTACATTTCACATATATCGGTTTAAGACCGTGGTACCAAAAACTGTGGTACATATACTACGGGTGGTAAGGCAAGCAGTACGTGTGGCAGGGTGGCAATGTTAATGTCTCACAGCAAATGTTTGTGGGTTCAATTCCTGACTCGGGCGCCTTTCTGTATTAATTTAACATAGGACCTTCTCTCTCTCAGGTACACATGAAGGACTTTGAGCTATGGCTCCACGTCTCTGAGTTCTCCATTGAACATCGCTATTATTATTCTCCCCCGAGGTTTCTTCCCACAGCTAACAAAAACATACAATGTAACTGGTATTGGTCAAAAAACCCGAAGCTGAACAATTACTTGCGAATTACTCAAAAGGGATTCCACATGGTAAAATTGCGCCTTACTGAAAAAACATTCCAGGATCCTCCTGAAAAAGTCTTGAGACTCCGTGAAGTACCGTCTTCCTGGGTTAAGAAGCGTATATAATAAGTATAATATCTGCATCTATGCATTAGTGGTAGCTTTGTCTGTATGCCTATATCATATAGGATTGGGCAAAAATGTCACAGTAATGTATAATTGAACAAGAAAAAAAACAATCCCAATCATGAAACGTATTTTGAAAAATAAGTACCTGCTGTGGTCCTCATTTTTAATAAGCACCAATAATACTAATTGTAAAGCACATTTGTATATTACATATATAGCACTCTTAACTGATTTCATTACCATTGGCTTTATGAACACCAACGTGTTTGATGTTCAGCACACATTCTTTGGGAGGGGTGTTATATGAGAAATCTGCTGGTGCCACATCAGATGATCTATCTTAATCTTACATGGAAGTACACAATTGAACAAAGTTTGGGAACCGCTGATCGAAAACGATAAATGTGTACAAACCGCAGTACATCAGCCCCTTATTTTTGCTAACCCAAGTGCAACGTCGCATGATTAAAAACGTAGGTAAGACAACGATGTACAGGCGTGCATTATTTAACACGATACGCTGCATAAAGGGTCACCAAGTTCTTCCCCTCCACTCGTTTGGCACTGTGCCTACTTAAGCCCATTGCAACGGTGGTGGCAACATTTCAGACTGATTATCAAATCACAGAATCAGATTCTTTATTTAGACTGGAGGATTCCGATGAGCAATGAAGCTCTTTTTCACAGATTTGCACTTGGGGCGGGTCAGAAAGTTTTACATGAGATTGGTCTATTACTATAATTTCAACATATCTTGCCTTGTTAAATAAAATGCTGGTGTGCCCTAACTTGCTTTAATTCGTGTGTATACATCAAATATTGTTCGTGCAAAGACCTTTGTCAATCCTTTTCAATAGAGCACCCCCCCCTACGCCGCTTCGGTTATTGAGACAGTGTGACCGTACAGCATCCCGCTGGACATTACATAATGTGGAGGGGCACGTGAGACATCACTCTCAACTCAAAAAAGTTGTAACCCGGAATATAACTTCGGTAGGTCAACCAAGTGTACAGCGAAATGCCCTTGATCCACTGTCCCACCATATCCACCCCTGAAGTTGCTTTGTAATACATTGTAAATCTCCGGCCATAATCTAGGCTCTACGGACATTAGTCACGGTGAACGTGAATGTGAGCAGAGTGGGTCATCGTGCGTCATACCATATTACGACACGAGCCATTGGATAAAGTAAAGAACGAAACGTTCACGCGAACAGCGAGCGTCCGTCATCACATCATGCCACAGCGCGCGCCGCACGCTGTCTCTTGCCCTTAATGTCCGCGGACGTGGATGTCTTCCGTATGCCAGGTTAACGAAATGACAAATATTGATTTCACGTGCACAGCTCTGCCCTGTCTGTTAAGTGTCCAAGGTTAACGTCGTGACGAATGAATAAATAAATAAAAATTAACGTAGAACCCTATGTCCATCCACGCAACAATTAACCCCCATGTCTGAACAAGGAGGATGTTTGACCATGCCTTGCCACGCCAGTGAGTTAGTAGTGGGCTTAGGACCGATTCAAGTGTAAATTCTCAACCTGCTCTTTGCCGTAAGCCTGGATTCAAACTCATCTCGACGCTTTTACAGCTGAGTGTGAGAACCACTGCGCTACCACTCCACCCTACAGCACCCATCCATTAGCACCTAAAAGTCGAGGATTGTCCGCTTCAAGTAAGCGTTTGGTACCATTCGCGACTCAATATGTATTTGCAATTAAATTATGTACAATTCATATTGCGATATCGTGCCGTTCGTTTTATCTGCAGTAGAATCAATTCACAGTACAGTATTTAAATGTAATTCTTCACGAGTCCGTTGTTAATGCTAGAATAAATAAATATACTCGACGGGGAATTTCACTTAAACATCTGAATGTTTCCACATTTTAAGAAATGAATGTGTTCCAAAACAAACGAAATTGTGTGCGCGCCACAAAGTAACTTAATTTGTGTCCGGTATTTGGTTTATCCAGACACGCCTCGGCGATTCTCAAGAATATTTCAGAAACGTCCTGCATTGGGATGTTCGGCAAATACCATTTTTCAGTCTTTTTGCAATACAATTTAAATGTTCGCATTCACCGACAGTCAACGTGGTTTTTTTTTTTAAATGGCCAGTTATTACAGTACTGTATTTAGTAAATCGCACAAGAAAATGCAAGCACCGATTTCGGCTATATTTTCCATAAACCAGCATTTACACTACAACACGTTGCATTAATAATGAACGTACGATCCAAAGATGCGTGCAGTCTATATTAACATCGCAATACATTTAGAATAAGCACCCAACATTCAACGTGCATCACAAACAAAAAACAACACACATCCTCCTCCTATGTCGTAGGCGACGTGACGTAAGATTTGCCATTGGTTGTCCTCCCTATAATGAAAACTGTCCTTTTAACATTCAAATTCTCTGTTTAAAAAAACAACAACAATCACGCTGTAGTGCGCCGTAATATTGCGCACACTACATACTTCCATTGATTACAAATGCTCCGCTGGGAAAAGCTTAGCTATTTTTTTTCTAGCGACGTCAACATCAGATATTGCACCAGCTTTGTCAGATGCAAGAACGCCGCTTGCATAAGGAACACGGAACAACGCACGAACACACACACGCGCGCGCGCTGGTCTTCAACAACAAACCATTTATACCTGATGTGCGACAACCAAAGGCGAACACACGGACAACCAAACGTCTCAGGCGATACGCGTTCTCGAAGACAGCAAATACATATCAACAAAGGCAGATGTAGGAAATTGTAGGAGACCAATGCATCGCGACAGTATAATGCAGTATCGTTAACAAACAAAAAATCACGACCAGTCCCAGCGACGAAGATGATCATAACCATAACCTTGCTTATTTAAGCACGGTACATTTCTCTGGGTGATGAATGATGGGAACAATAACCCGCTGGAAGGGTAAAGGAGGTGTTGTTGGGGGGGGGGGGGTAGGGGAATTGTACCTGAATCCCGACGGCGACGTTAGCTGCAACCCCAGAAAGGGCGAGCTCTCCGGCGAGCTGAGATGGAGGTGATGATGCTCCGCCATCTCTCCGCTATTGCGAGGAGAGAGGGAGGATAAGGTGGTGGGGTGGGGGGGTAGGCTGGAGAGGATGGAGAGGATGGGGAGGAGGAGGAGGAGGAGCGGCACCAGCAGCAGCAGGAGGAGGAGAGGTGTTTTGGTGGGAGGTTGAGTAAGTGGTGGGGGATGGGGGGGGGAATTTTAGTGGGGGGAGTCGTGTGTGTGGAGTAGTGGGAGGGGGGGTGGTGATGCTGGCGGTGGGGTAAGGAGCTGTGTGGATGTGCTCGGCTCTGCGACAGCTGGACAAAGAGGCGCGCCCTCTCCCGAGAGCACAATTAAACAGGGTGGCCGGATCGGAGGAGTGTGTTGGTGGTGGTGGGGGGACCCGGCGGATTAATAATCATAATGCTACAACCGACCACGGCGAATAGAAGAATGTCACCAGCGTAAAGCGAAGAGTCACCACCAGCACAATTACCGCACTGCCACCACACACACACAGTAGTAGTAGGTCAGACCAGAGAGCCTCGATAACGGAATTGATGAAATTACAACAACAAAACAATAATGCAGTATTAGACAGCCAGTGAAATACTCTAAAGTTTCTGTACGTAACGCATCAAACCTCGGTGTGTGAGAAAATTAAACGACTGTAAAAAAGATATATATATGTACCCGTATGACATTTCGCGATGACCGTAGGATATCAAGTTCAGTGCCTCGGCGCTTTAATTCCGTTACCGTGAAATTGGCCACATTCGGTGTTGTCTCCACCCAAGGTCAACGCGTAAACTGCAGATGGTAACCCCATACATACATTGCGGCAGTGGTGCACATTTCAGGCATTGTATATTCAACATGCGACGTCCCCAGCCAGCTACATGTACGCATGTGTTTGTTTTCTTCTCGTGAATAACAAAACGCTACACGCGATGCATGCCGTGACACATACAGACACGTAATGCGACACATACGGTTTTACACGTAGAAACATACCGGCATATGATGCGTTACAGACACATACCGCGATGCATACTGTGACACACACACACGCACGCATACACGCGTGATGCAATACATAGGGCTTCACAGAGATAAACGTACTGGCATATGATGCGACGCAGACACACACCGAGATACGCACAGAGAGACGGACTCGAGACGCGTACGGTGACACTGATACGGTCGATGCTTCTGTGATACGTACGGAAGCGCCGTACTGCCACGCGTCTGTCTGTACGTGCCCCGCGCCTCTGTGTGCACCTCTGGCCCATCGTGCACGCACTCTGCATTGCAAGGGGGGTGCGTTGCGCAAGGCACGGAGCAAAGCGCGCAACGCATTGCGGACGACGGCTTTGCGCATGGGGTAGGGGGGACGGACACACTCAATTTCGCTTTTTTGTTCTTGTTGTTGTAACCCTCGGAGTAAGTGGCAAGGACAAAAAGACCCCCCTCGTGTAGCCTGTTGGGGCAAGTGCTGTTAGCGTAGCGCCTATGAAGGCCGGCACTGTGGCACACGAGGTGGTTGGGGGGGGGCGGTGGGGTGGTGTAACACCACACCCGGGCCGCCTTTGTCTGCATCGTGGCGGTGTTTTTACGCACCGCACCAGGGTACTCATTTGAGGCCGAGTGGACCTCGGGGGAGGCCCAGGACCGGTTCAGATAATTCGGCACCGGTGTTGTGCCGTGAGCGAGCAAATCGAACTCGGGTCGCCGGGTTTCGTAGCGCAGCGTGAGCGCTATAACCCGCCGCGCCACCGCTAGTGCAGCAACACACGGGGCACTGCTGCAGAGCAACATGGGGAAAATACGTATCGGGGTTTGTTTTATATTCGAAATTAATGATATAATGTTCTGCATAAAGTTTTACATGGAAATCACAAATTGAAAATTGCATTTTTAAATGATCCGTGTCTGCTGTATTCGTTACTCCCGCCTATTCAGTGTCCCTATCATGTCTTCCGAACTTCTACCACCGTTTAAATTCAACGCAATGTTTAGATAGTTACAGTATCCAGGTGGCAACGGCCCACAGCCACGAACAATAGTTATTGTTGCGAGTGAGGAGGTTGCCCAGCCAGCAGCCAGCCATAAAACTCGAGGCATATACAAGTATTATTTTAACAGTACAGTATTGTCATGCGGTGATGAGCATGCTACGATTACTGAGAGTATTATGATAATCGTGGGATTTGTACGTGTAGATTGGCTTACTCATTGGCAAAGGGAAATATTTAATATACATTCAGCTTTTGGATTTTCTCTTCTGAGGTTCAATGCACGGATCACATTTATAAAGCTGCAAGAGATGTTCAATAATCTGTGCATATTATCAGATCAGATATGAAATATGGGTCACAAACGTGGACTTTGGCAAACAAATGTTTTGCTAAATCTGAAAAGTGAGCAAATGTATAATGCAGTGGTGCATGCTTGCAATTACAGTAACAGAAAAAAATAACACATGGCTCAAAGGGGCCGTCCATAAATGACGTCACGCACCTACGGGGGGGGGGGGGGTCAGACATTGTGACGATGTGTGACGAGGGGGTGGTGGTGTGAGAAATGTGACGTCACATCAAAATGCGCAACTTTAAATAAATATAGACAACACGTTCTACTTCATTAAATATACTTTTTAATAAATGTTTTCTCCTACAACATCAGAGTGCAGCGCCACGTTAAACACGCACTACAATGACAATAGTTTAAAGCGATTTGAAGCGTGTTTTATTTTCAAAATGGAAATATGGTTTTGGGGGGGGGGGGGGGAGAGCTTTGTGACGTCATATTTGAGGGGGGGGGTCTGACCTTTTGTGACTCCGTGTGACGAGGGTGGGGGGGGGGTCAAAAATCGTCCAAAATCGCGTGACGTCATTTACGGACGGCCCCAAAGCACATACCCAAGATAGACACCATATTGATATTTCTTTTTTTAATAAGCGGTCTTGTGCGGAACACATTCCGAGAAAGGACGACCAGTGATCGAGATTTAACAAAGTGCAGTCAAGGGAGAGATCACGCAACGCAGGGTCGTCCACCGTGGAGATGGAATGCTGAAATCATCTCATTTCACGTGTACCAGAGCGAGATTAAATTGCTACATGGCAGAACAGTGAGGGATGGCGACGGCTCGTGGAGGCCTTCATCATGGCTAATGATGATGGATGGCGACTGATACACACGGAGGCTGGTAGATACGTACTGTGCGTGGAAATACGCTAATTTTGGGTGGACATCAACAAATCGTCTTTTATTGCAACCGCTGCCGGCAGCGGTGTAAATGTAACAGGACCTGCGAACATCGGAAACATGACATTAATTTGCAATTTTCGTGAGTTTGTATTTTTTAAATGGTTACCGCACATGTTTTCTGATACCTTGCCCATGTGACCCGGACTTCTGAAAATTAAGCGTAAAGCCACAACGTGCTGGTTGTTGTGTGACCTTTATGAAGTCGTGTGGGATCCCAATGTGCTCCCGTCATCAGCCACGCTCAATCCACAGCTGCATGAAGTACTCAAGCCTTTTGTGCCAGTTAAAAGGGTAAAACCTATTCCTATAGCCTGTACTCAGCCTTGTTTAAAGCGTTGCAGGTCCTGCACCTCCTCGGGCTCACCAGCAGATGGTGAAGGTGCCTCGAGGCATTGAGCGTACGATGGCAAAATTCGTACAATAATTCATGAGCCAAGCCATGTGTGCAAGTCGGTTCATGACAACTGACAAGGGATGAACATTTTGGCCGATTCATCTTCTTGGTTCTTTCGGTAAAGTCACGTAGAAGAGAAATAATAAAATAATGGAAATAAAACATAAAAATTTATTTTTATTTTATTATGTTTTATTTTTATTATCTCTGGGTCTACCAAGCGACTCGAGAGAGCAAATCGGTCAAATTTCGATTTAAAGCTTTCGTGACTGCAGGAATTCGTCTTCTTGGTTCTTTCGGTAAAGTAACGTAGAAGGGAAATAATAAAAAAATAAAACTTAATAAAATAAAATTATTGTATTGGTTTATTTTTATTATTTTATTATTATTTCCCTTCTACGTGACTTTACCGAAAGAACCAAGAAGATTAATTCCTGCAGTCACGAAAGCTTTAAATCGAAATTTGCTCTCTCGAGTCGCTTGGTAGACCCAGAGAGGTCGTTGGCACATGGCCAAATGCCCGTATCGTGATGTTCTTGATGTTGTGTGCCGGGCGTGGAAATATTTTGCGGGTGACCGACCCCCCACCCCCCACCGGACAAACTCGGCTAAAATGAAGGCCTGGTTTACTTTGATTAATTGTTTTTTTTAGCTTTGCTGTGCCGTGCAGTATTAATAACAATAGTTATAGTCACAAGCACACAACATTATCGTTGTGTGGAATGTTGTTATATACCCCGTATATTACATTACACTTACATTACACAATAAACAACTTTTAATGTAGTAATGCGGGGAATTTACGATCTTGTACTGTAACGGTCTAAATCTAATTTTGACATTCCATCAGCATGTGGCATTACTCGCATAATCGCCGTTATATTAAACTTAAAATCATTATTACGAATATGTTCAAATATTGCGTTGTAACCTCACAAATAGAGAAACAAAATTTCCGAATGATTGTTTCACACATATAGTTTTGCATTGGTATACAATGAACATATAAAATGGAACATTATTAATAACATCTTTAAGATTCCATCGAATTATTTCGTACATATCGAATAATAATATGCACTACAATAACACGCGCGTTATGGATATGTGAAGAAAATTTTAGTTTTACGATTAAAACGTAAATATCTTAAAACATGTGCACGCGTTTTACGAAACATGAGTGAGATTATGTAGACAAAGGAAACGTTAATTGTCATTTACATCGACAACGGAAAATGAAGCCTCCGCCCTGGCCTAGCGGAGCACCCCAAAGGGCGACACCTCTACGGGTAGGAATTCTAGGCAAGGCAGGCTGCCTCGAGCAAAACCCCTAGAGAAATATGGCGGCCTGAACAGCCAGAGCCCACTGACCAGAGTTTTCAGTAGTACACAAAGTATTTTCACGTAAATCATGCCCCTAGTTATCGGTATATAATATACACATCTTGTATTATTTGAGTATTGCATTTATAATAGTTTAAGTTTTTGACAGCATTTGCAACACGTTCGAGAACGGCGGTGTGCACATTGTTAAGAACGTTAGGATACAAACGTTTCATTGTTCGTCTCAATTACAGTGAAAGCAATAAATGTGTGGTGTTCAAGTGAGAACAATGCTCCAGTTGAAATCGTTTTGAAAATAAATAACAGCAATGTTTTTAGTCTCAAAATTGAATTTAGTGGGAGTGCCGCTATACAATTAATATCGGTGGTTTGGGTGTTGTGGTTTGGCTCAGCTGTTGGTGTGGTAATTTGACTGTGGGCTACGGCTGATGTCTGCTTGGGAGTTCTCTTGGTTATTAGGGGGCACATCTGCTGTGGGTGTGTAGTAGTTAAAGCTGTTAAACCCACGGTGTAATTTGTCTGAATATGTTGTATACACCTGTTGTGTCAATGTGTTGTCGTGTGGTGATTTTATTGCAACGTGGTTGAGCGGTGGCGTTATTTCTCTTTCGAGGCTGAAGGCTACAATCCGCGGAGCGGTTTAAGTGGTTTTGTTTTTTGTCACGTGGATGAGTGATTATTGTTATTACCGAGCGGCAATGTTACTTGCCGTGTGATTAATTTGGCGGTGCCGTTACCGCATGGTTTTGAATGGTGGTTGTGTTGCAGCGTTACATTGCAGTGCATTCGTTCTCTGTACCAACCTTGACTAAATCTGTGGCCGTGTGAACGCTTAAACACCTCGCAACGTTATCCTGCAAACTAAGCCCACAAGTACGGTAGTTAACCACATGACACTTTTTTTGAGTTTGAAGAAGGAAATACGACTGCACGTAATTAAGTATTTTTTTCTTCCTCTTTCACCGGGTCTTAAATAGATTTGTTTTAAAGAAAACAGTGAGCTGGGATTTTGTTCTCTCAAGTTGAGCCATATACAAAAATAACTATACCTCCTCTAAAAATGTATCCCACTGAAGGATACATGTATACATGTCCAATGTTTTCAGGAACTGAGGAGTGAAATACATGTGTCGTGTGCAGAAGTGGAGTTATTTCACCCAACGTATAATTGGAAACCAATTATGTATACTGTTGTTGATTGGGATAAACAAACATGGTTTATGTTAATGATTTCCAACTAATGTGGAAAGTGTTCATGCATTTGCCTTGCCCGTT